AAAGCAGACTTTCTCTGGACTTCAGAAACAATGAGGTTGTGTCTGATGTCTCTCAGCAGTCCTCAGTCAACGTGCTGCTGACAAACCTCATCAGGGGGAAGCTGCTTCCCTCGGCTCTCGTCTGGATAACTTCCAGACCTGCAGCGGCCAATCAGATCCCTCCTGAGTGTGTGGACAGGGTAACAGAAGTACGAGGCTTCACTGACGCCCAGAAGGAGGAGTACTTCAGGAGGAGGTGGAGTGATGAAGACCTGTCCAGCAGAATCATCTCTCACATCAAGAGCTCCAGGAGCCTCCACATCATGTGTCTGATCCCAGTCTTCTGCTGGATCACTGCTGCAGTTCTGGACCACATGTTGACTACAGACCAGAGAGGAGAGCTGCCCCAGACCCTCACTGACATGTACTCACACTTCCTGCTGGTCCAGACCAAGAGGAAGAAGCAGAAGTATGAAGAGGGACATGAGACGAGTCCACAGCAGCTGACGGAGGCTGACAGGAAGGTTCTTCTGAAGCTGGGGAGGCTGGCGTTTGAACATCTGGAGAAAGGAGACATCATGTTCTACCAAGAAGACCTGCAGCGCTGTGGTCTTGGTGTCACCGAGGCCTTGGTGCACTCAGGAGTTTGTACACAGATCTTCAAAAGAGAGAGAGTGATCTTCAAGAAAACAGTCTACTGCTTTGTTCATCTGAGCATTCAGGAGTTTCTGGCTGCAGTCTACATGTTGCACTGTTACACCAACAGAGACACAGAGGTACTGAAGGACTTCCTGCAGGGAGACTATAACAACAGCAGTGATCAGGATTACCCATCCCTGGATGACTTCCTGAAGGGAGCCATGGAGGAATCCCTCAAAAGTAAAAATGGCCACCTGGACCTGTTTGTCCGCTTTCTCCACGGCCTCTCTCTGGAGTCCAACCAGAGACTCTTAGGAGGCCTGCTGGGTCGCACAGACAACAGACCAGAAACCATCCAGAGAGCCATCAACAACCTGAAGGAGATGAGCAGTGCTTCCTCTCCTGACAGGAAGATCAACATCTTCCACTGTCTGACAGAGATGAAGGACCACTCAGTACATCAGGAGATCACAGAGTTCCTGAAGTCAGAGAACCGATCAGAGAAGGAACTCTCTGAGATCCACTGCTCTGCTCTGGCCTACATGCTGCAGATGTCAGAGGAGGTTCTGGATGAGTTGGACCTGGATCAGTACAACACATCAGATGAGGGACGACGGAGACTGATTCCAGCTGTGAGGAACTGCAGGAAGTTCAAGTAAGTCCAGATGTGATTAACTTTATAAACTAATGTGGATCAGGAGTTTCATTATTCAAATAAACACTATAACATTTCTGCTGTTTAAATACTGAGAGCAAAATAAACCAACACTGCTCTTCTATTTATTTATAATAATAGTTAAACTGAAGCGTTCCTCTCTTCATATTGAGTGATGGAGGCGACATGTCAAACACATGAAGGACTTGAGAGGTTTCTCAGCATGTGATCACACCACACAGCAGGACTTACAGTTATCACAGAAACATGTTATTATTACTTTCTTTGCTTTTTTCTTTGCTTTTTAAGAAAATATTCACAAAGCATACATAACCAAATAAACACATCTAAGTACAAGATGAACTACATAACAGGTGACAAATCAGAGAAGACATAATAAAATAATAGTATTAATAATATTACAAATGAAAGAATGGATACATTATGAATACATTATGAATACTCAGGTACACATTAATTATATTCACTGTATTGTTCTATACTGACCCATTCCTCCCACCTTTCCTCAAAGATATGCATTTGGTTTCTAATCTAGTTGTTTTCTCCGTTACATAGATTTCATTAACTAAGTTATTCCATTGTGAGTTTAGTTATTATCTTTTAGGCACTTCCTTGTCATTAGTTTGATGATGGCTTTTCTAATGACCAGAAATAGATAGGAATCTTTCTGTATCTCCTCTGGTGTTTCCCCAGTGATAGGGACAATGGGTTTTTGTTGAGAGAACAAGATATTGGACATTTCTCTTCAAACTGTTTCCCAGAAGTCTCCCAACACATCACAGGCCCAGAATATATGTGTCTGGTTTCTGCTCAGCGCATTCTCTCCAGCATTTTGAAGTGAGGGTTTGTTTGTGTTCACTTTGAATCTGGGGTGTCTTAAAGGATGGAGTTAAAAGCTTCATGTGTTTTCTTTCCAGTAGTTTGAGTTGGTTGTGTTCTGAATGTTTCTGCACATTTGTTCCCAATCTGCTTCTGGCATATTGCAGGATCATTCATTTCCCCATGTATTTGTTACATTAATAATACTGTGTTCATCTTGATTTCTTAATGTAATATTTGAACCATCTGAGTTAGAAATGTTGTTTCCACTCCAGGGTCATAAACTGTAAGCATGTATTTTATTAATGGCTTGATGTCTTGAAAAGATCTCTTTTTTTAAATGCCAGAAAGATAACTCCTCACTTGGAAGAATGTGAATAAATGGTATTTGAGTAAATCATATTATAACGAAAGCTGTTCAAAGGACTTCACGTCTTTATCACCGAACATTTGTCCAAATGTCCTCAAGCCCTTAGAAGCCCATAGTTTCAACATGTGGTGGTCTTTGTTCAGTTTGTGAGGAGGGAAGTCTTGATCAGTTCCTCTTTCAAGAAGATTACATCTTCATATCGTTTTTGATTACGACAGACTTCCCTCCAAACCTTAAGTGAAGCAACAACCCTTTTTTTAATGATTACTTTCTAGTAGTTTCTTTATCATTAAACACGTTGTGATCTCAATGTGTTAGAGTTTAAAATCAGATCTATATCATTTCCCACCAATAACAGAGTTATGTCTTAATGCTGATATACTGGGAACATCTGATGCTATCAAGTTGAACATATTGAAACTTTATTGGTTTGTTAATTGTGTTTGTGTGCACAATAAATGTTCAGATGCTCAGAGAAGCCAAAGCATCCTTCATCCATCATTCACATCTACATATTAACTAACATTTAAATATGTACATCTCTAATATTGTCAAGTGATTCATTTCATTTCTGTTTCTTTTGGTAACAGTCAGTGACAGCAGGAGCACAGACATGTGATCAGATCACACTGACAACTCATTACACTCTATTATCATATATTATTATATATTATATTAAATGGACTAACAGCAAAGGTCTATCAGAACATGTCAAATCTTTTTTCATCAAATGCTTGATGTTAATATAATGTTTCCTCTTTTTAACACATGTTGTAATATATGTTTTATTATAGACTTAGTGGCTATGAACCCTATGAACCCTATGGACTCTCAGAGACTGAATGTGAAGTCGTGGCCTCAGCTCTGAAGTCTGACCCCTCTCATCTGAGAGATCTGGACCTGGGTTGGAACCCTCTGGTGGATTCAGAAGTGGAGCTGCTGAGTTCTGGACTAAAGAGTCCAAACTGCAGACTGGAGGCTCTCAGGTCAGTTCACTGACTGCAGTTCATATTGATCTGTTTGTGTTTATGATTTTCTGAATTTGAACAAATACAATGTTATTTTTATTTGTTCCGTTTTTGCTAATGACTGAATATTGATCAGAGTAACAGAGAGAAGGTGAATGTGTGAGGGAGAGTGTTTGAGCTTCCACAGACTCACTCTGTGCTCCATGAGTCAGTGGAGATGCTGTCAGTACTGATGAGCTGTGAGGGAGATGAAGGAGTTGTTCAACATCTGATCAAAGTTAAAGTTCCAGATTATCAGTGGATTGTTTCTGCATCATCTCTGACATTAAAACCCTGTTTCACTCTGAACAGATTATTAAACCTGGAGTTATTTCAAACAGGAACATTGTTTTCTAAAGTTACATCATGTTTTCTTTATTCAGACTGGAGGGCTGCTGGTTGTCAGAGATCAGCTGTTCTGCTCTGATCTCAGCTCTGAAGTCCAAGATCCATCTGAGAGATCTGGACCTGAGTGAGAACTACTATCTGAAGGACTCAGGAGTGGAGCTGCTGAGAGATCTTCTGGAGAGTCCAGACTGCAGACTGGAGACTCTCAGGTCAGTTCACTGACTCTCTGTTACTGCTGGAGATCTCACATGTTCACTTTGTGATTTAACCTCATTTATATTCATTAATAACTTACATCTTTAGTTGTAAATGTCCTTATATTCATATTTCATTTTTAAAGATTAAGAAGTAAGAACTTCAGACATACATGTTGACTGTTTCTTAAAGTAACTGTAATAGATGTTAGTTGTAAAAAGTAAATCTATGTATTTAATATTTAGTAAACGATAACGTCTGAATAAAGGTCATCTGAAGTCATTTTAGTTTGACATGATAAAGTTCACTTTCTGAAGTAGACAGATGTTTCTGTTCAGATTCATTTAAATGTTGAGTAACATCTGATTGGATTATAAACTGATTTGTATCCTCATCATGTTTTCTTTATTCAGTCTGAGGTACTGCAGGTTGTCAGAGATCAGCTGTTCTGCTCTGATCTCAGCTCTGAAGTCCAACATCCATCTGAGAGATCTGGACCTGAGACACAACGCTCTGCAGGATTCAGGAGAGAAGCTGCTGAGAGATCTTCTGGAGAGTCCAGACTGCAGACTGGAGACCCTCAGGTCAGTAAGGGGTCTCTGCTGGTTCAGCAGTATTGTATGAAACACAGGGAGGTGTTTCTCTCACTGGGGAATCACAACAGATCAGTGATGTTACCCACTGACTGCAGGCTCTTTCATTCTTCCATCAACTATAGAAGGCCAGCTGAAAATGCAAAGCCACATTTAGTAAGTAATCAACTTTCCACCAGACATATGGGATTTGACAGAAGAGTGGAAAAGGTAGTCTGTTTTTGATGGGATGTTTTTAGCTCCTTGACTAATGACTGTTACTTCCTGTAATGCAGCTGAGAGCTGTGGCAGTCAGTCGTAGTGTTTGCAGAGAAGATATGATGGGATGTAAAGCATGAGATCAGTCAGGACTCTGAAGCTGACTCAAAGAACAAACACTTATTTTAAACTGGATCCATAACTGTTGGATTGGGTTCATCCCTACAGGATCAGAGAGGATGAGACGATCAGAGCCAAGATCCAGAAGAACTGTGAGTACTGAATATCCTCCATTCATCCAGATATGAAACTCTTTCATGGAGCATGTCCTCAGAGGAAAACAACACTCTTGTTTTTCTCTCTTCATCATTTTGGCTGTTTCTCTTCACAACAACTGTCTATCAAAACAGTGACGCGTTCACTGACACTCTGTAAAATGTAAATAAACTCTGAAGAATAAAACACATGAAAACATCAACATTATAACCAGTATGTTACAGTATTATCATCAAAATATACTTCAGTCAAAGTAGAAGTACTTAGATCTTGTACTTGAGTAAAAGTACAAGTACCCAGATCTTGTACTTGAGTAAAAGTACAAGTACCCAGATCTTGTACTTGAGTAAAAGTAGAAGTACTCAGATCTTGTACTTGAGTAAAAGTAGAAGTACTCAGATCTTGTACTTGAGTAAAAGTAGAAGTACTCAGATCTGGTACTTGAGTAAAAGTAGAAGTACTCAGATCTTGTACTTGAGTAAAAGTACAAGTACTCAGATCTTGTACTTGAGTAAAAGTACAAGTACTCAGATCTTGTACTTGAGTAAAAGTACAAGTACCCAGATCTTGTACTTGAGTAAAAGTACAAGTACCCAGATCTTGTACTTGAGTAAAAGTAGAAGTACTCAGATCTTGTACTTGAGTAAAAGAAGAAGTACTCAGATCTTGTACTTGAGTAAAAGTAGAAGTACTCAGATCTTGTACTTGAGTAAAAGTAGAAGTACTCAGATCTTGTACTTGAGTAAAAGTAGAAGTACCAGAGTGTAGGAATACTCTGTTACAGTAAAAGTCCTGCATTCAAAATGTTCCTCAAGTAAAAGTAGAAAAGTATTCTCATCAAAATATAGTGAAAGTAGCGACAGTAAAAGTAGTCATTGTGCAGATTGGTCCATTTCAGAATAATATATATGATATGTTTTATAATGATATCATGAAAGTGTTCTCAAAGCTGGTAAAGGTGCAGCTAGTTTGAATGACTTTGTATACTGCAGGGTAGCTTGTGGATTTACTCCAGGTGGAACTAAAGTCTGATTTAACACTTGATTAGATTTCACATCATTCATCCACATGTGTAAAGTAACTAAAGGGATTAAATACATGTAGTGGAGGAAAAGTACACCATGTACCTCTGAACTGTAGTGGAGTAGAAGTACAAAGTAGCATCAAAGGGAAATACTCAGGTAAAGTACAAGTACCTCAACATTGTACTTAAGTACAGTACTTGAGTAAATGTACTTAGTTCCTCTCCTGATCTGTAAAGCTCTCCCAACATATGCAGGTTAGCATCCGGCAGCTTCTATGTGCTGGGGACCCGTACTGTACATTTCTCTCATCACACTTTGGGCTCCTCAACATGTGTGGGTTCTGTTAGAAATTAAAATCAATATTCAAAGATGTAATTTAGCGTAAACACATAGTAAGCTTTAAAAACTGTTTTATTCTGAAAACAGTTCAGAGTAAAGTTTATTTTGAAAAGCTGTATCTAAAGACGTTGACAACAATGACGACTTCCTGTGCTACAGTACTAACGGTCTCAGCTGTTAAATAATGACCATTTCCGGTATTACTAGAGTAACGATTACAGCCGTTATAATACATTAAATAAAAAGTAATGAAAGAGAGCAGGAGGAGAAAAGGCGTGTGGAAGTGAGCAATGAATACAAAATATCGAAATCCTCTGTTATGCGCGATTGAAGATCGAGGTGGGCGGCCCCCTACGTCACAGCCCCCAGAGAGGAGGAGCGAAGGAGAGATGCAAGCGGGTAGTGATGGGAATTATGGCTCTTTGAAGGGAGCCGGATCTTATGGCTCCGTTCCTTTCAAAGAGCCGTTCAAAAGAGCCGTTCAAAAGAGCCGTTTTTTTAAGGTTTCTAGGTTTATCTGCAAAATAATCACCAGGATAATGATTGACTGTATTGCCAGACCTAATCTCAATAATCTGCATTGTAAACATGACACAAGGTGGCGCCATATCCATGTCATCATGTCAGTGAATGTACTTTGAATTTACCCTCTGTATGTGTTAAGTAAATAAAGTTGCCTTGCCTTGAATGAAATTCACGCAACTCTTAATATTAGATACTGTGTTTTGAAGTGGCGATGGAGATTATTTGTTGACCCTGCTTTAAAGGATATGTTTGCCTTTACAAATGGTGCGCTTTATCACTGCCTGGGTTTTGGTTGAAGTGAATCCAAATGCTGCTGCGTTTTCGCGTTTGGCTCATTTTCCATCGGAAAAACACGTCGTCTACCTGTCCTGTTCCACTTGTTATGACTTCTCTCTCTCTCGCGTATTCCCTTAAGACCCACCCCATCTCACTCCTCGTGCTGAAACCTACCAATCAGAGTAGGGGGGGGTCTTCACAGAATACGTTTGGGGAACAAAATCAAGCTTTTTAAAAGGCGAGTGGATTTTGGCAGGCAGTGAGTGCGGACCAACGATTGAACGATAAAAAGAACGGCTCTCACCAAGTACGACTCGGTTCCCCTCGTTCGTACCAAAGAGCCGTTCAAAAGAATCGGCTCGTTCGCGACCGACACATCACTACAAGCGGGAGAATCAACGTGTGCTCGCTCTCTTGCCTTGGTACCAGCTGCGGGACAACATCTGCTTTTGTCTCCCCAACTACCCTTTGTTTGTTTCACTACCACGCTGCTTAAATTAAAGTAACCAATTTGAACCCTTACAGAGACTCATTTGTCTCTTAATCTTTAAACATCTTCCTGGATGCGAGAGAATCAGCACACATCAATAGTTCCCAGCAGGACTCTCTGAGCTGCAGACACATTCTTTCTGTGACTTTGTTCCAGATATTTGGAGCATAATAACTGAAGCTGTTTCTCCATGTTCAGGAACTCCCATCCCCCGAGTCCTGCGGCAGGAAGCGCTCCTTCTCTCCAAGAACTCCTGGACCCTGCAAGCTGCTCCAGAACCAGAGTCCCAGTGAGGAGTCCAGCCAGTCCACCTCTCAGAGTTAAACTACAACATTATTAAAGATCATGTTTAAAGTTAAAAAAGGATGCTTTCAGACTGAATCCAGAAGTTTCTCAAGCTGCAGTCAAAGCAGGTCATTTGAGGAATATATAAAACAATTATAAAACTGTAATAAGAATTACTCTGAATACTTTCTTTGGACATTTTATTTACATTTATTTTAATCAAATGTTTCTGACTTTCTATCCGAGTGCTTTTCTCATGAACTAACGACTTCAATCTTCTTTCTTTTCTCGTGTATTTCATAAACAGGATATTGTTGTTTGTACTTATATCCTGCTTGATGAGTCAGCAGTAAAGCAGCCAGGCGTTAACGGTCAGCTGGCATGTGTATCTGTTCATTGGCTCATATGTGTAGCATGTTTAATGGCAGTGTGTTGAAAATGGCTGACAGGTGAATATGTCAGATCTCTGTGTGTTACTCAGAGAACCGTGTGCAGTGTTTTAGAAAGTGCAGAGTTGAATTGCAGATTGTGTGCAGAGCTGAAAATGTGTTTAGAGTTCTGTTTGATTTGATCCAGCCAGTTCTGCCACAGCAAAGCATAAGGGCTCAGAGCTTGGACCTATTGTGTTCACATTATATACGCTTCCTTTAGGCAATAAGGAATCACTCGGGACATTTTCATTGTTATGTGGATGATACTCAATTATACACAATGTAGACAAAAGTATTGGACCACCTACACATTAGAGAGATACCGCAGGTCCTTCCTTCCTGCAGCGGTCAGACTATATAACCACCACGACCCCTAGTAGACCCCCCACACAACAACACAGACTATAACACCTATTATCATTTCTTTTTAAAATCTTTAATACTTTGTTGGATGCATGCTTTAGGAAACATGAAGGTGTCTTTGGCTCTTTCTGCTGTAACAATGTACATGTATCCTCTGTGGGACTAATAAAGGTATTCTCATTCTGATTCTGATTCTGATTCTGATTCTGATTACACCTACAGGAGCTTTCAGGACATCCCATTCCAAACTCTTAGGCATTCATTTGAAGTTGGTCCCCCTTTGCAGCTATAACAGCTTCCACTCTTCTGGGAAGGCTTTCTACAGATCTTGGAGTGTGTCTGTGGGAAGCCCTTTCATCCAGAAGAGCATTAGTGAGGTCACACACTGATGTTGGACGAGAGGCTGGCTCTCCGATCTTTTAAAAATATTTTAAACATAGTATATGCAGTATCAGTGGCGGCTGGTGGAAAATATTTTAGGTGGGGCTGTGGAAATGGTGATCAAACAATACTAGAGGGGTCCGGGGGGATGCTCCCCCGGTAATTTTTTTTGAGAAAAGACCCCTTAAATCATGACTTCTGGTGATGTTAGAGGGAGGGGGGGAGAAGGACAATTTGAGGCTTAAAAATATGAGAAGACTGATCAATACCTCCATAACTTCAGTGTGGTTAGCTATGAATCTTCCAAAACTTCCAAACACCTTGTCCTGGACATAGTTTCTACAGCATAAACTGTGCAACAGTACAGTAGGCCCCCACAAACTGCAGAACACCGGGGCTTTGGGAACACTGATTTAATTCCCATTTAACCTGTTAAGGGGCTTTTTTCCCCCGTTTTTTTTCTCACGAAACTGTGTCTCAGGGCTTCTTAAAATGTAATAAACTATTCATGTGTCCTACTCAGAGGAAACGCATCTAACTGATGATATGAACCATGTTTACGGAAACAAAACACAAGTCTCACAAGAAGCGTCTAAATGAGCCCTGAGCGAAAAAAATTTAACGCACTCTAGGTATAAATCAATCGATATACTTATCGGATATGCACAAACAAGCTTACAAGCTGAGATTCCACATATTCTAGAAATATAAGTATCATCACTGAGCGATCAGAACTCGCGACAGGGGAAGCAAATACAGACATCACACGACGTAGCTTTAGGTAGCAAAACATGGAGATATGCTCACCTTTTGCAGAATAACAATTCTGATCAAAAACGAGAAAAACGCAGCTGAAGGTTAATCCATAGGTTAATCCAATGTGTCTGTCACTTTGAAAAATGATTGATGATCCATAATTCCATTTTTATGTCAAAAACGGAGTTTTCATTAGCTGCTAATGGTAGCTTCCAGAGTGTATGACAGCTTCCTGTTTTGTCTCCTTGGATACGAGTCCAAACAACTCACAGACTGCACCGGGCGCTCACGTAGGAGCCCTGTGACCATCAGATTTGACGACGCTGATTGGCTGAAATTATGTTTCGGCGTCATAGTTTAAAGATAGCAACAGTTGGCTTCTGCTGCACTTGCTGCACTCTCATCTGGGCGCTGTGCATAGCGCCCAGACGAGAGGGAGTAATGATACACGGGCAAGGCCAGGCAGGAAACATGTGACTTATCAGTAACTTTAGACATCGTAACACAATTTTCAACGAGATTTTATTGTAGATTATACATTTTACTGATACCAATTATATAATATTTACCTTGTTTATTAAAAATAAAAATAAAAATAAAAAATATATTTTTTAAATATATATTTTTTTATTTTTTTTATTTTTAATGTGGGAAGAGGGGGGGGGCGGCGCCCCTAGCGCCCCTATGGGCCGGCCGCCACTGTGCAGTATACAAAGTCATTAAAACTAGCTGCACCTTTACCAGCTTTGAGAACACTTTAATGATCAATCATTATAAAACATATCATATATATTATTCTGAAATGGATCAATCTGCACAATGAATACTTTTACTTGTGGTACTTTAACTATATTTTGATGCTAATACTTTTACTTTTACTTGTAACCAGGGCTGGACTGGCCATCTGGCATACCGGGCATTTTCCCGGTGGGCCGACGTGCCTTTTGGGCCGACACGTCATTTTTTTTTTTTTCTGAAGTCCCGGCCCATAAGACGGGTAGATTGGCCCTCTGTTTAAATGTTTTTAGTAATTGACACTGGGCCGGCCCAATCAAATCTTTAATCACCTCCCCCTTTGGGCCGCTCGGTGTGCATCATTAAATCACGCCCCCAGGAGGTGAGCCGGCCGTTGAAGCCAAATCGCCTTTTTTTTCGAGAAAAAAAAAAGTTCGAGTTAGAAATGGAGAAGGCGAAGACGAAGGCCAAGCGAAAAGGGGGAGCAGAAAAATTGCGGGCAAGAAAAAAGCAGGCCCTTCGTGCTGATGTTGCCGCTTGTGTCAAAATAACCGACATGTTTAGTACAGGTGCAGGTCCATATTCAGCACCCGTGGCCGATATTGGTGGTGAGGAAGATGATGAGAGGGAGAGAGATCCGCGCGAGTGGGGAGAGGGAGGAGAACTCGCGGTAAGCAGAAGCTAAGAAAATTAGGAAAAGATTATTATTAAGGTTATGATACTCTGTAGTTCTGGAACCCATTAATATCCCCTTGATGAAGCACTAATAAGACAAATATTATTAGAGAAACATTCGTTAGCCTACAAGCTAGTAAGCTGGCTATTTTAGGTTTTCCCTGGCAAGTTAAAATATAGCTTAATGGGACTCTGATACGTTGTCTCATTGAAAGAATGTCATTATTTTGTTAACCACCATTCATGAACAATTACTGTCAGCTGGCAGCTTGTTTTGTTTAGTTTATTTACTTATGTGTTTATAAGGGCAACAGTGGTCTTTTGGGACCTGAACAAAATGTTTATAGTCAGCTTTTTGTGGTAGTTTTGATTGACAATATATAGAATGAATAATATAGAAATAGAAGAAAAAATGTAGGCACACATGTAGTTTTGACCATTAACTGTGTGGTATTGTTATGTCAATGCCTATTTGTATGGACCTCTATCAGGGACCAAAGAGGTCACCTGCATCCTTTTTGACTCTCCCAAAGCCCCCCAACTACACTCACACATGCAAACACACACACACACACACACACACACACACACACACACACACACACACACACACACACACACACACACAGAGGGGAATGGACGCTGGACATAGTGCCCCTCTCCACAACAAGCATTCATTTTAGTTATTTCAGTCTAGTATATAAGTTACTTTGTGTGTACAGTATATATATACAGTATATATATCTTGCTAGTTGTGTACTTTTGTAATTTATGTGGGATTTCTGTCAAATGTTGCTTCAACTCTCTTTGTAAATTTAAATCTGTCTCTTTCAAACCTATTCTCAGGAAAAAAAATAAAGACAGTGGATAGTATTTTTGGTTAAACCTGTGTTCCTTCAGTTCTGTGTGCTCTGTGAGGTTCTGAGAAACCAGCCGCCTAAGACTTGCACTATAGCCCCTTGCGTGCGTCAATCAATCACATTTTATTGATATAGCCCAATATCACAAATTACAATTTGTCTCAGAGGGCTTCACAGTGTGTACAGGTACGACATCCTCTGTCCTTAGACCCTTGCAGCGCTCAAGGAAAAACTCCCCAAAACAGACCCCACAATTAACAGTGGGAAGTAGGAAGAAACCTCTGTGAGAGCAACAGAAGAGGGATCCCTCTCCCAGGACGGACAGACGTGCAATAGGTGTCGTGTGTACAGATGAAAAAGGCAATACAATTACAGCGATTAAAAAAAGGATGGAAAAATTAAATGAAAGCGTCAATGTATATAAAAAGATGCCGTCGACTCATCCTGTAGACTCATCTGGTCCTATCTCTATTGTGTTGTCATAGAAAGGGGAGGCAGGGCACTATAGGGTCCCCCCCCCCTAAATTCACTAGAAGTCATCATTTAAGGGGTTATTTTTAAAACTTTTCTTCTGTGGGGGGCATACCCCCCCAGACCCCCCTATTAGTGCTCGGTCACTGTTCGCTTTGTGAGAGGGTTTGAAGGTCTAATTTCTGATGATTGATAGTTACACATACTTGTGGTATGTATTAGTTTTGTTTGCCCCTGGTACGTAAAAAGGATAATAATAGCGTTTTTTAAAATTATACTGAGTTATTCTTCTTGTCAGGAACCGCTACTATTCGTTTGTTTTATGGATTTGGGCCGGTCTGGGTCTAAATGCCAGGGCCGATTTGCTGTCCCAGTCCAGCCCTGCTTGTAACCGAGTATTCCTACACTCTGGTACTTCTACTTTTACTCAAGTACAAGATCTGATTCCTTTACTTTACTCAAGTACAAGATCTGAGTACTTCTACTTTATTCAAGTACAAGATCTGTGTACTTCTACTTTACTCAAGTACAAGATCTGAGTACTTCTACTTTACTCAAGTACAAGATCTGAGTACTTCTACTTTACTCAAGTACAAGATCTGAGTACTTAAACTTTTACTCAAGTACAAGATCTGTGTACTTCTACTTTACTCAAGTACAAGATCTGAGTACTTCTACTTTACTCAAGTACAAGATCTGAGTACTTCTACTTTACTCAAGTACAAGATCTGAGTACTTAAACTTTTACTCAAGTACAATATCTGTGTACTTCTACTTTTACTCAAGTACAAGATCTGAGTACTTAAACTTTACTCAAGTACAAGATCTGTGTACTTCTACTTTACTCAAGTACAAGATCTGAGTACTTCTACTTTACTCAAGTACAATATCTGTGTACTTCTACTTTTACTCAAGTACAAGTTCTGAGTACATCTACTTTTACTACAAGATCTGAGTACTTCTTCTCCCTCTGATAGTAGAGAATGAATGAATACTCAGCTTTGTGTTGTACCCACCATAACCGCAAGATGGCGGTAGTGACCACCGACTGTAAAATAACACCACAAATTAATTCCTTATTCTACAAGACCTTATTCTACAAGTACTAAGTCATTAGTTAAGTTTGTCCTCAATAACCCTCTAATGAGAGCTTATTTATTGTAAGTAAGGACGTTGTTGTGCATGAGTTAGGGTCTTAATATGCTCAATATGGGCCTAATAACTCTCATAATAACACCTAACAAATATGGTCTATTCTTATGTAACAACACATGAAACTACAAGTGTTAATTGTGTCAAAATAACTCA